AGTCTACTATAGTTCTTAAGATTCCAACTCCTATTAAGTGACTATTCAGGCAAAGATTGGAATAAGAGATAAATGAAACACTTAGACACTTTTCATAAAGCGTTTAAATGAAATATATAGTAATCCTAAGCATAGTTCATAATATCGGTAAACATCAGCTAGCCTAACTATGGTATTTACTATTTATGATTATTTTTTTTAAATTCTTAGGTGTTTGAGAATGCTGTTCTCCTTATACTTCTTAGTTGAAAATGTCTTATAGCTCAAAGATGTCTGCTTAAAAGCTAATGCTTTGGGCTCTGTAAAATGGACCTTTTGTCTAATCAATGCAAATTGATTTTCCTATTCTGTATTGACCTCTTGACCCATTGACTGTCCATGGTAATTTCCTTCTTCACCTGATAAGGTACTTGATCCATAAGTCAATTCTAATTAGTTTAGAAACTGGAAATTTAAGTTTGTAAGGGAAAGCCAAATGAAACCATATATTTTTAAATATTTTAATTAATATTGTCATTAAATAAAATACATGCTATTTATCTAAATAGTATCTTATACATTTATAGAAGTTTTATTTTTAATTAATTTTATATCCATAATCTCATTTGATAAATATGACTGACAACATTTGTATAGCCTTATTTACAAATCAGATTTATTTTATTTAAAAGGCTTTGGATAGCTAATTTCCTTCAAGTGGCTATCCAAATGTATCATATTGTACCATTGATAATGACTATAAAATTTGTCAAAATTATTTAAGAAGTTCTGTGAAACTTGCCATTGAAATAAAATGCACAAGTATACTAAATGGTATTTTTCCTCTTGATATAATTTTTGTAGTAATAGGCATTAAAAGAAATTGGAAAGCTAAATAGTTGAAAAGTAGGTACAGCAAATACTATTTATATGCTATATATATATTTATGTATGTGTAATATAAAATGTATGTATATATAGTATGTATAATATGTAACTCATCCTACAGTTTATTCTTTATAGATTCATTATACATTACACTCAATAGAGTATTAAAATTTTTTTTTTTTTTTGTGAGGAAGATCAGCCCTGAGCTAACATCTGCCAATCCTCCTCTTTCTGCTGAGGGAGAATGGCCCTGGGCTAACATCGGTGCCCATCTTCCTCCACTTTATATGGGACACCGCCACAGCATGGCTTGCCAAGCGGTACGTCGGTGCTCGCCCAGGATCCGAACCGGCGAACCCCAGGCCACTGCAGCAGAGCGCGCGCACTTAACCGCTTGCGCCACTGGGGCAACCCCCATGATACAGTTGACTTTTAAGGCAGATATTGCTTCTATCCCAAAACCAGTATTATACCAAATTCATCTAAAAGATCCCAGTTTCATCAGCAATCCTATCCCTATATACCAGACCTACAGTCTTAAATAACATTTTATCTGCCTGCTCTTCTTGTACATACAGAAGACCATATTTTTGAAGAGGGAAAAAAATAATGTTTTTCATTTTAAAACAACTTTAATACAGTTGTTAGTTGTTTGAAATTTTGTTCTGTTTTGTTTCATTTTTTAATTGGTATTATTGTCCCGTATGTAATTGTGCCTTAAGTCTCTCAGCCAGTTTCTGTTTCTGGTTGAGGGAAAAAAGAGACTTGAGGAAAGAAGCAGCCTGTTGATTACAAATAAAGAGACTTTCTGAGAGAGAGGCCTGTTCCACTAGCCTGGGCAGTATGTGGGCTGGGCTGTCCTAGAGAGGTTCTGATCATCATGATGTTCAGTTGTGTGAAGACAGTGTCCTCTGAGCCAACCCTTAGAATGGACACACATGCAGTTCAGCCACCTTTTGGAGTGTTAAAACACCCCAGAAAACAAATGAATAGGCAACATTAGTTGGTTTTGTTTTGCTTTCCTTTGTTTTAAAGTTCATTCCTCTTTTCTTTCCCATCTCTTCTACTTGGTAGCCATAAGATGGTTTTCGTAATAAACTAAAATCTTTTCAAAGAAATCTGCTGCTGAAACCATTCACCAGGAGAAAAGTATAGAATATTAATAGTCATAGCACACTGAAAGAAATATTAACAGCTTGGTTTGAGAGCAAAATATATATTTTCAATATGTCCATTATTCTGAGAATCCATAATCAACTTTGGCCTGTTTTTTACCTTTCTTTCCCTGAGGGGTTTTTCATAGCAGGAGTTTCACTCTACTGAGCTAAGTTGTAGCATCCCTTAAGCTAACAAACATCTTTTAGATACTTTTCCTATAGTTTTTTTGTTCCAGATTATTTAATGCCCCCTCAGGAAAGATAAATTCATTTCTGCACACATTGGGGTGGGCTTTTAGAAAGTGGTGTGTTCATTTTCTGCACAAGAAATGGATCTTCTCTAGGATTTTGTACATCTTGATTTATTCTTGGCTTAGAGTTTGAAGTGGGTGCTCTTCTAAAGGGATTTATGCATAGGTTCACTATTTTTGTAGTTATGGTTTATATGATAAGCTTTTTATATTTAAAATCAATATGTAATCCTGTGGAGGAGCTTATCCCCTAAAACCCCATTTGTAAATCTATTTTAGCTTTGTTACACAGCACAGCCACAGTCTTCCATAGATTGATTAGGTACAGCGGTAGAATCCTATCAAATGGCCTGCTCTGATGATGATGCAAACTCTTTCAGGATTGCTAGTTGACTGGAACTAAAGATAAGACTTGACTGCAATCCCCCAATGTGCTCTTTACAAAACTAGTGTTAATTTTCATCAAAGTGCCAGGTTTATTTATAGTGGCAAGGTTGAAGGTTTACTACAAGAACTTTAGGTCCTTTCTATTAAAGTGTTTATAGGTATTTCTTTTGCCTTTTTTCCAAGGTAATTATCAACTTCAGCAAATAAACTGAATCCGGGAATGAATAATTGGCCCTATATATAAAAAAGAGTTTTTTAAATTAACAAAACAGCTCAGTGCAGATGGACATAAACAGAATCTCTTTATTTCAACACTTTGGCTCAAATGCAGCATCAAAACTTAATCCTATTTGTTGCGAGAGGATATGGCTTTTGTAGCAAAAGTACGCTGGAATCTTTAAATTAATCAGAACTCACAACATAGTCTGTCCAAGCCAAAGTCAGTGCATCTAGCTAGCTGTGACTGGTGTTGTAGGTGAGTAATCCTTTCTTAAAATGCATAACAGGTAACATATACTCACATGCAGGTTTTTAAAACATGACATTACATCTAGGTGAAGCTATTTAAAAGGGGATTTTAAATTTTTTAAATTTAGGCTTGAACATACAAATGTGAATCTTGATCAATTTTAATGTATTACTAAATTTTTTTAAAAAAATCATCAAAATAGTTTACTTACTTTACCAAACTAGCATTCAGATGTGTGTGTATGTGTATAAATTTACTCCCATGAGAAACCAAATACAAAGTAAAAGTAGTTTTGCTAGTGTAAAATCTGCTCACCACACATAGCTATTTCCTGTACAGTTGACTAATATTTTCTAGATAGATATTAATGTAGTAATGACATTTAATATGAAAAATCCTCTAAATTTATGCTGGGACATTTTAAATTCTAATGTCAGTTAAATTTGACTGTGAAATGATGAAAATTACCTAAATATTCATAACTTAAAAATGTTTTTGTTACAGTTATGAGAAATATCCTTATTGAGCTAGGAAAAAGTTAATAGTTTTAAAATTATTCAATACCTCAGGGGTTTAAAAAAAAGAGTTTTCTCTCTTATCCATATTGTTGAAGCCTTATTTCTTAAAAATTAAAGAAATCTTGATATTTCTAATTATCAATTAAAGCCTTAAAAGTGACTGGTCAGTGCAGGGAAGGAATAATTTAATTAAGAAAAGTATATGTTTGTTGTTAAAATTTTATTTTTTATTGGTTTTAAAAATTTTCGTAATTTTCAACTTAATTATATTTTTTATGTGTATGGTGGAGAAAATTTATTGCCCAGTTGTAAAGCTCTTATGAAAATCTTTTGGAAGTAAAGAATTATAAACTAAAGCTTATAATCAGAATAATTTATTGAGGTTGGAAATTGAAAAATTAATTTTCATCAGAACTTGCTAATCTTAATTACAAAATTTAGTTACAAATATTTTACAAACTTAGCAGATTTTTCCGAGTTAATATTTCTCAAACTACAGTTACCTGAAATTAGACAAGATGACCTTTAAGATCTTTCCAACCTGAAGAGTCTATTAATTTTTCTGCTGTGTAGAATGAGACTAATTAGGAACAAGAACCAGATTAGAAAATTGTCCAGCATTCCTGACCTCAGTTGCATTTAAATCCAAAGAATAAAATTGTGATAGATAAATTGTGTGGCTTTTCTTCAATATTGCTCTTTTGTTATTATTTTTTAATTCTTATATTCAGAAAAAAACTTTCCATAGTAATAGTTTCTTTACTCCTCTTCATGCAATAGAATATTTCACTTTTTTTTTATAAGAATGTAATGTGGCCAGTTATTTAATGTATTTATTTGTGTGATGCTTTGTATCGAATGTGGATAATTAATACATGGCATTTTTCATATATATGTGTATGTATTTGAGCTTATAATGAAAGGAATAGTGGTAAAATTGAATAAACCATTCTAGTTTTTTGCTGCTTGTCTAACCTTTATTGCATGATGATGCATCTAATTTTTAATTTGTAAATACAAGATAGAATTCCCTCTAGCACCATTTGCTTTCATAAAGCTGCTGAGCAGTTTGCTGTCTTGAATAAATTTTGCTTTGGAGGGGGTCGCGGGGATTTGAACCAGCACATTCTTGTGTGGTTTGTGAAGATTCACATGGTAACCAGCGGTGTGCATTGTTAGGTTTATCTGAATAAGCACCAGCCATGTGAGTTTTAACATGATTGCCCAGGGCAATGGAGAGAAGAGAAACCCGAAAGGATTGCACTTCTCTCTGTTTTTTTGGAAAGTGCATTTGCTGGGGGAGGGGGCTGTATGAGTCAGTGGCCATGGTTTTTTTTTTTTTTTCCCCCCAAAGCTGGTGTCCTGTTTCCCTCTAGGTCCTCATTTGTTCTGCTATCTGCCTCATCATCTACTACTTCTTTTCATTGTTTACCTTCCTAATGAGGGAGGCGGGGTAGACTGGGGATTGATTGACAGCTACAAGCCCTTACAGTCTGGCCAGAGAGCAGTTGGCTTTGGTTTCAAAAGTGCTTTAAATGTTCGATTTGGTCCTGTTTTTATTAAACGAAACTGCTGCTCATCTTAAGGAAATTATCAGACCAGCAAAGATTAGGAAATATATCATTGGGGCCTAAAACCTTCAAAAAACTGCGCCTACCCAAGGAAAGAGCACTGCCCATCGGGTTTTCCAACCTTTAACATAGGGTTTCAAATAGAAGTATGTAATTTTTCCTTTGCAAAAGTGCTTTGATTTGAAACCACCCAGCAAACCTCTCCAAAAGAAAACTGGCTGTGATGCGATCGAGAGCTGCAGTGTAATATTGCAGAGCAAATTTATTTTTTACTTCAAAGAAAAATGCTAATTAGCCGATTCACTACTTTTAAAGTTATTGTGAAGCATATGGCGCCCAGTGTGAGATACATCCAACTGCTAAAATAGAGCGAAGAGGAAATTAGCGAAGAATGGGCTGTATGGGGTGGGCAGGGGGGTGGGGGAGGAGGATAGGTTCTCAAGCAGATTCTCTAGCCTTTTCAGAATGATTTTATCGCCCATCTCTGCTTCCCGCCTCCTCATTTACCACCCCCCCCCCAAGCCTCCGGCAGACCTCTTCTAGGACTCCAGTTCTCCCTCCCCCACTTTGGCTGAAATCAGGCGCACACCTCCGGCTGGCCACCGGCTCACACCTGGTCACTTTTGCAGGCTCCAGCCCAGCCGTAGCCGTCTCCATCTGCGGGAAATATTTAGAAAGTAGGGTCTTAGGGGTGAAATCCGCACCACGACGGCCAAACTCTCCATAAAACACTAGCTAGTGACTCTATAATATGGTTTGTGGAGAAATACAAGGAAATTGGGAAGGGGAGGGCAGGGGGCCGGGTGTGCGGAGGCCCTTCGGGTGGGTAACGAGCCTCCCGTCCTCTGCAGACTGGCAGAAGACCGAGGCCCAGAAGCGACGCGAGCAACTCCTGCTGGATGAGCTGGTGGCCCTGGTGAACAAGCGCGACGCGCTAGTCAGGGACCTGGACGCGCAGGAGAAGCAGTGAGTGGGCATTGGGGTCGGGCTCTAGGCTCTGCCGCCTGCTGAGGGGCCTAGAAGTTTACGGAAAGTTCAGTCCAGAGGTCTCGGGTGGGCCGGGGCAGCCTCCCGCTGACCCCGCAATCCCAATTCCTGCTGGGGCTCAGAATGCGGGCGAGAGGGTGCTGCTCTGCCCTCCACGAAGAAAAATAATTTTGTTTCCTGTTTGACTTCCAGGGCCGAAGAAGAAGATGAGCATTTGGAGCGAACTCTGGAGCAAAACAAAGGCAAGATGGCCAAGAAAGAAGAGAAATGTGTTCTCCAATAGCAGCCAGACCAGAATCTTTCCCAACATTTTAGTCTTGGGTCCCCAGACCAGAATAAGTCAGACTCGTTGTTGATTTAAAACTCTTAACATTTTGTTTGGCTGGATTGTACTTCTTTACCACCACCACCCCTTTTCTTCCCTCCTTTCCAGATAATATACAGAAATCCAAAATAGCTTTGTTTAAGGATTTTTTTTGTGTATGTGAGTTAATCATTTCCTTGAAATCATGCGAAATAGATTTGCACAGATACCTTGTGAGTGATTGGTATTGGGAGTGTTCAAGAAACTGTTAAAAGAAGAAAGAAAAGAAAACCCTTCCCGCATTATTTTCCCTCATTGTCTGATGGGAGGAAAATTTGAAAACATTTTTGTTGTTGTTGTTGTTGTTAATAGCATAATGATGGTGGGAGGGGGGTAAGAGGGGGATAAGAAAAATGTCATGAATGATTTTTTTCCAGTCCTGCCATGTGTAACACTGACTCTGTTACCTAAATTTCATAGTTAGAGCATATTCAATCTACTTATTAAACTGTGTTCTATTTACCAGTGGGATTTTCTGCAGTTGTTTTGCGTTTCACTGTAAGGATAATAGAGCTCCTCTCCTCTGCTTTCTTCAGAGGATGGCTCTTTAACATAGCCTGAGACAAGTCCTGTGATTTAAAGGTGAGCTGTGAGGATGGGACTAATTGACACGCATCAGTTTACAAAGACAGTGTTATCATCTGAGAATGCGCCATCTTTTTCTCTGGATAATTATTTATTACATCTAGCTTGGTTCCTACAATTTTGTTGGGTCTCAACATTGGCTCAAGAATGCTGTTAATATTTATTCTGTATTGATAAAAGTCGGTCTTGCCACTATGAGTAAATCCCCCAATTAATATTTCCTTCTCTAGCATAGCACTGTCATTTTTTGTGAAAATGGTTATGTTTATTTATTACAATTCTGAGTCATATATAAATTTTCAATAAAAGCAGAAACTTTCTTACCTTAAACACTGCTGCTACTTCATTGCAATGAAAACTTGACACTGGTTTGAGGAGAAGGTTGTATATCCATAAGACTTTTCATATGGAAAAAAATGGTCCTCTTGATTGCAGGGCAGGATACTGGGTTGTATTTGGAGCTGAACAAGTTTACACCATCCCAGAGGGGCCCTGCTGATACACGAATGTGAATTGAAAAACAATTAGTCATATTTTCTTAAGCATTGTAAACTATCATCTTTGGTAAAGGGTCATCTCTGTTGTTCAAGATTTGAGGAAATTTGTGATTCCATAGCACTGTAAAAGTGTTAGTATCTTGATGAATTTTCCACGTTGTTGTTTTCAGTTGTTATAATTTTGCACTCATATGAGAAAGAACTGTGACTTCTGATAACTGTAGGTGCTGAAGTGAAAGAAAGAGGGTTATTGTCCGGGGGAGGGGTTTGTGTGTGTGCAGATACATGTGTATGAGATGAGGAAAAGGGAACTTTTAACAAGAAGTTCTAGGCTACAGAAAAAACTGGCGATTTTATGGTAGTTTCCATCACTGCTCTGCAGAGGTGTCCGAAACAAAGAGAGCTCGTTCAACAAGTCTGGAGACAGAGAAGACAGTCCACCAGCATTTATACTTTAGCCTAGATCACACATACATATATACACACACATACATTTATGCAGATATACACAAACATAAATTCCGTTCGAAAAGTCTGCAGCCGCCTTCAACTGCCAGTATTTCAAAATGATAAAAACTTGCTACGGCAGAATTTCTTCATGACAAGGATTTTAAGAAGTTATTGAAAAGTTATCAGAACGGAATGAAATGGGGTATTTGCTCTCTAGGGGAAGCTCTGAGAACCCCGCTCTACCCCGAGGGAAGCCAGCAGACGGAAATCGCCAGCCCGAAGCAGCTTGGGGCTTGGGCGGCCAGCTTCATCCACCCCGTTTACGCTGGATTCGGGGAACCTTCCGTCCCGAGGAGCCTCGCAGAGAGGCGGCTCCCCTAAACCTCTCCCGACCTGCCAAGTGACAAACCTTCCCTAGGCACAGATTTGCTGCCCCTCTTCCTGCTCCTACTGCCCCAGGCCTGAGCCTCGCGGGGTTTCCACGTGAGCTGCTCTGTGGCGCCCGCACGCCCCGCAGCGGCGGCAGAGCGCGGACCCCCGGGACTAGCGGAGTCAGGCCCGCGGCGTCCCGATTTCGTCGCGTGGTGCCCAGAGGCTGCCTCCGGAGCGCAGGCGCGAGCCCAGCCTGCGTAGAGGCCGGGAACCCGAAAGCCCGCGCTGCGGGAATAGAAGCTGGGGGCCAGGGGCCGCCGAGGAGGAGGAGCATTGGCATCGGGCTGGCTTGGGCATAGCCCGCGGGCTGGTGCAGAACCTCCGCCCCTGGCCAGGATCCCACGGCCCCAGAGCCAAACCCCTCCCCTTGTCCCAAGTGTTCTCCAGAGTCTGGCCCGGCCTCGAGGTCACCTGGATGCTGGATCCGGGTCTTGGGGCCCAGCTCCCACGCCCCCTCCCCGGCCCCGAGACCTCGAGCTGGGTCGACATGCCCTTTCGCGATGCCCCTCTTCCCCTCCCGGCGCTGCGGCCATTGCTGGAACGGTCGCGGCTTCTAGCCCAGAGTCTCCCACCTGGACATTTGCCTAGCGACGGCCGCCTCAGTCCTCTACGCTGTGTACAAGAAACTTTCATCTCAGTGTCTCTCCCTCTCTACTCTCCCCCCCTCCCCTCTCCTCTCTCTCTTTCTTCTCTTAATCCCGGGGTTTTATGGGTTGAGCATTAAGAAAATTCGCCTGCAATTTGGGATTAGATAAATACTCTCATTAGGGGGGAAAAATCGTGCTGCTTGATACCTCCCAACTTCCCCGAGACCGTGGCAGCATCTGGAACCGAGAGCGCCGGACTCCCGCGCGGCGGGCCCTGGGGACCTCCTGGGCACATTCCAGCGCGCACACCCGCCCCACCTCGCCGCGCCGGACCTCGACCCGGCGCTGCGCTGCAGGCGAAACGGCCCGGAGGAAGCAGGAGCGCAAGAGATTGCGGGACTGGGACAAGGGCGCGCACCCCGGCAACGGAGGGCTAAGAACCCAGGCACACAGAGCGCAGGCCCAGGCAGGGGCAGCGCGGAGCTGGGGACGCAGACGCTGCGGAAGCGCCCCCCGGGACGCCCACACCCTGGTCCCCTCTAAACTAGTGAGCTCCAGCCCGCGCCTTTCCCCGCAGCTGAAGGCGGGGGTGTATTTCGTTTCTTTCTTTAAACCTCTGCACCGTCCCGGGGGCTCCGAGCCGCGGGCCGCGCCGGCCATTCCCCACGGGGGCCTGCGCGAGCCTAACGAGTGTTCCCGTCCGGGTCAGCGCTGCGCTCTGCGCAGTTTCTTTTCCTGTTAAAGCTTTTTCTTTCTCATGTTTTTCCTTTTCTCTCGTTTTTTTATTGTTTTTTCTCTCTCTCTTTCTTTCCCTTTTGTGAATGGGCCGCGGTGTCTTTGTTCTCGAGAGAAGCGCCCGTGTCGCTGACTTTTGTGAACCAGAGAAGGATCTTGTAAAACCTCCTTTTCTCCTTCATACTCCTCCACTCCCACCCCTCCTTCTTTGCCCCTTTGATTAGATGTTCCCTCATCGTCCAAAAAAAAAAAATGTAATTTCGTTGGTCTGGCGGCCACTTTCTTTGAACATTAGCTCGCTTTCAGCTCCCAACTTCAATTAGAAGGAGTTGATTTTGAGAGATCAACAAAAGAACCGACCAAAGCCTTATTAAAGGTCCTAAGAAGATCTCCCGAGTCCTTTGAGAAGCAGTTAAGGAAACAGTGTGCCCTCCATCATATTCTGTTACCGTATTTTATTCGGACTCCAAAGGAAAGTGTCGCTTGGGGGAGGGGGAAGCACTTTGATGAGCGGCGGCCGCGGCCCCTTTTCACTCAGCGGGCTCTCCTGCCTTCTCCTCCTCCTCCTCGCCCAGCGCCCGGTCCGCTCTCGGTCCCGACCCCACGGCCCCGGCAGCGCCGGCGCTCCCCACCGCGATGCGCCTGGCGGCTCCTTGACTCGCCCTCACACTTACTCCTGTTCAAAGTTTTCACTCCGCCTGTTGGGGTGGAGGGGAGGGGGGATTAGGAAGAAGGGGTAGGAATTCCTCGAAAGGGAATAAAGTCGTGCCTAATATTCAGGAGGAGGTGCCATTTAAAAGAATTGCGTTGCTCAGTGTTGGGGCGAAAAACTTTTTTGCGCTTTGAAAAGTCTACCCAGGTAGACGTGTTGGAGAAGTTGTTCTGCTGGAAAATGGGCTTTGCCAGTACGAACAATCCGGGGAAAGCGCCTCAAGGAGGTTCCTGCGGCATGTGGAAAAGAAATTGAGGGTAGCGGTCTGTGGCCACGTTTTCCAGCAGACTGTCCTGGTAGGAGGAGACCGGGAAGGAGACAGAGAGACAGTGTGAAAGAGAAAGTTTCCTATCAAAATCTTTCGATTCAGAAGTAGAGTGTGTGTGTGTAAGGGGGAGGGGACGCCGGGCTCCAACGTTTCAGAAGAAGCGTTTACAATTTGCAAACACCCTTCGTAGGGGCTGGGAACCCCAAGAGACGCCGAGGAGAGGTAAGGGGTGGTGCCTCTCCTGCGGGTGCTGTTCCCGGACGCGGGAGTCCTGAGGCGCCAAGGCGGGATCTGCGCACCCGGAGCCGCTCCCGCGCTCGGCACAGTAGCCTGTGCCAGCACGAGCCGCCCGCGGCGTCCGTCTGCAGGTGGTGGCGCGGTGGAGGAAGACGCTGGGGCCCGCGGCGCCGCGAGAGGGGCCGGGGCCCCCTCTCCTGCAGCCGCGGCTGCGGAGTCCTCGCGTCCACAATCGGGCCGCCGAGCCGAGTGGCGCTCGAGAGAGCGAGGGAACCGGTTCTCCGGCACCGCGCCTCCTGTCTGCCACTCCCTCCCGGGCGCCGAAAGGGCGAGAGAAGGGCGGGGGCCCCGGGACGGCCTCGGGACCGGCGTCCCCCTCCGCGGCCGAGGCTCGGGCGCTGCGCTCGCCTGCCTCGCCTCGCTCTGCGAGGCGTTTGCCAGCCAAACCCCGGAGTTAGCGCGCGACCGGGGCGGGGCGGGCGGGCGGCGAGGGCGGGGTGCAGGGGGCGGAGGAGGGCGGGGGCGCGCGGAGGTAACCCCCGGCTCGTGCTGCCATTGCCCGGCTCCCTGTCACTCAGCCCGCGCGGGCCCCGGGATTGGCAGCCTAGCCCCGTTACGCACTCACCTCGCGTTCACATACTCGGGGAGGGCAGTAGAAAGGTGATCAATCTTCATCAGGCTACGTTTCCAATCACCTAAACAACCGGGCGAGACAAGCCACTCCGACAAGGTAAATCGCTTGATTTATTTAGTTTGCAAAGTGCTTCTGCAGGACTTCCCCAGCCCCCACCGCCTCCACGTCGTGCCGGGAGTGCAACGGCAACCGCGAGCCACCTCCCAACTCTGCCCCTCTCGCCCCCCGCCCTCCCCCTTGCGGCCCCTCGGCGCGGTCCTGGCAAGGTAGTGTCTTGGGTAGTGTGTAGGGCTTTGCAAACAAAGTGTCTGTGCAAAAAAGTGAAACCTGGAGGGACATGCACAAAGCCACTGAAAAGAAAGAGAAAGGAGGGAAGTTGGGGAAAGAAAGAAATCCGGGTGTCCTCGACCAACCGCCCAGCCTGGCGGGTAATTCCTGTGCAGCTCTGTTTTGCAGGTTGGCTGCCCGGCGGGTCTGTGTGAGGGCGCGAGGTAGATGGTGAGCGGCCCCGGCAGCTGAGGGCAGGTAAGGAGAAAGCCGGGGGGCCGCCCGGGACTCTAGGAACGCGTCGGTTGCTCTTGCTTTCTCCTCCTCCTCAAACGGGTCCCAGCTTCGCAGATCCCCGGCAGGTGGGCAGGGTTGGGGAGCGGCCTGGCACCCCTTTTGAGGCGCGGAGGACCCAAGAGCTCTGCTGCGGCCCCGGGCCTCCTCCCCCGCCTGCTCCGAAGTAACCGAGCTGAAGTGCTAAGTTTGAAGAAAATCTTTGAAAACTCAAGCTGCAGCCTAGCAGAGTCGCCGCAGCTTGAGTCCCATTCTCCTTCGGCCCGAGAGCCCCGGCTGTTTCCCTTTCGTCCCCTTCCCTGCAAACTGGGTTCCCCCAGCCCAGGTTGAGGGTCCCGGGGGATAGGAGAGGGGAGCGTCTTTAGCTCTAACTCCTCTCCCTGAAATCCCTGGCCCTGGTGCCAGGCCTGCTGTGACTTCCCGCGAAGCGGGGTGAAGCGACAGGTCATCTGGGCCGCAGTCCCACTCCCGCAGCGCCACTTTCTGACCCTTGAGAGTAGCGCCTTAGGTGCGGGGCAACTGGGGAAGCGAGGCTTCGACCTTCCAGCCCCGGTCAGCGCGAGCTACGCCGCCGAGGCCTAGTTCTCCAGTCTCAATCGGGTCCCGGGGCCGCGGGTTCAGCGGGTAGGATAGCGAGCGCGCGGGACCTGCTGCACTTAGGCCTCCCAAATCCGCGAGACATTTTTGGGCGCTGGGCGGGTCACCTTTCAGCCCCCGCCGGGACCCGGTTGTCCGCAACTAGGACCGGGCAGAAAGAAGGCTACCGGCTTGCGTTGGCAAAGAAGGGCCTGTGGCCGTGGCTGACCTCGGGCCGCTTGATAGAACCGCCACCTCTACAGTGGCCCCTTCTGGCCGCCTCTGCCGGACCTGCGGTTGAGACGTGGTGGGATTGCGGGTGAGCAATCTTTCAACGGCTGGGCATAGAGAGGTCAGCTGGAGGGGTGGCTGCGGGCCCTGGGGCCGGGACTCAGCCACGGAGACCTTTGAAGGAATGTACTCTCCTAAGTGGGCAGTGCCTCCCGCAGAGGCCCAGGTGCTGCTAGCACCTTGGTTTTCTGGTGTCTTTTGTCCCGCTTTCAAAAACAGTTGAAACAAAACGAAACAACCCCCTATGCTCTGGGCAGCCCGCCGCCCGGGCGCCGTGTGAACGTTTGCTTGTGCAGTATGAGGCCGGCTCCCACCGGACTCAGAATTTTGCCTAGACTTGGGACCTTGCACACTCTGCGGTTCAGGCTCAGACCTCCCCAGCTTGGCCCTGCTTTTAACCTCTCCTCACTCCTAGCGACGCCCTGCGAGTGTCTTTGGCCCTTTCCAAGCCCGGAAAGAGGCGATGACGATCCAGAAAAGTTTACTTTTCAAAGAAGCTGTGGTCTTTGGGCTAAGGCCTTGTAGAGCTGAGTCGACTGCCCAGCGCAGTTCCGTAGCCTGGGTCCCCTCCCCATCCGGTGGCTCCTTGCCTCAGACAAGACCAGGAAGCTGACATGGCTCCGAATGACGGTTTGTATCGTGTCTCCATAGGCCGGGCCCCCAGACGCAGCAGAGCTTGAAGGGACTGCGCGGTGGGAGACCCGCACTGCGCCCGGCCCCTGGCCCCCCTGGATCCGTCGGGGCGCCTCCACCCGGCTGTTAGCATGATGTCTTACCTCAAACAACCCCCATACGGCATGAACGGGCTGGGCCTGGCCGGGCCCGCCATGGACCTCCTGCATCCCTCCGTGGGCTATCCGGGTGAGCACCAGCCCCCACCCCAGCCCCTGCTACTTTGGGGACCCTCGGTCTCGGGTTTGAGCACACGCTTTGTTGCCCAGCAGGCCCAGGGAGCCGGTTGCCTAGTCTGCTTAAAATTCAGGGCAGGCTGCAGGCTCACAGGGCCGAGTCGCGGGTCGGTGAGATGGGCCAGGGCGGCGAAAACGTTCAACGTGCGCTCTCTCGGCCGGCCACACCAGCAACCTGTATCCTGTTGTGGTCCCACTGCCAGCACGGGGCGCATTTACCCACGGATTCGTTTCCCATGGGTGGCTTTTTTGGTGTGTGTGTGTGTGTGTGTGTGTATGTGTATGTATGTGAATCTGTTCCTTTCCCCCCAATATGGAATGCGGAATCTGGACACTCACTAGGCCCTGACAGGAGGAAACGAGCTTCCCATATGGGAAGCGACTGGCTAAGCCGAGGAAGGGGAATTCTCCTTCCTTAGTTAAATTGTCCTTTAGACCTGTCGCCTGTACCAATTTCTGCGCTGCTGATGTGGACGGCTTGGGTCGAATCCTGGCTTTCTTTTCTAGTTCCCATTCCTGCAACCGCATTTATTCCCTTGGCAAGTGTTTTCCAGGTCGTGTTTCTGCGTATCCCTTCCCCATCCTTCAGCCAGGGAGTATGTGGGACTGGTGGTGAAGGAAGGGAGATTGTATAACCTCTCTTCCTTCCTTAACCTCTAAGAGGCAGGGAAGGGGGCAGCCCTGGAGTCTTGGAGACACTGGCTCCCAGTCGCACACATGCACTTTCTTCCACCTGTGGCCTCTCAAGCTCTGGGGAGTTTCTTTTGCTAGGAGCTTGGCTTTCCTTTGCAAGGCCTCAGGGCCTGTCAGGGGCCTATCCGCGTCCTCTAGCGCAGGTCCATTTGGCCACCGCTGACCCGAGGCGCCCCCACGTGTCCCCTCAGCCACCCCGCGGAAGCAGCGGCGGGAGCGCACCACCTTCACGCGCTCGCAGCTGGACGTGCTGGAGGCGCTTTTCGCCAAGACTCGCTACCCTGATATCTTCATGCGCGAGGAGGTGGCGCTCAAGATCAACCTGCCAGAGTCCAGAGTCCAGGTGCCCGCGCCGGGGGCTCCAGGGTCAGGGTAGGGGCGTTGGGGCTGGTCGGAGAGGGCTTGGGAAGGGTGGTCTGGTGTGGGGGCGGGCTTACAGACCGGGCAGCTGCTCTCAGACTCCCCCTAGCGCTGGGCCCGGGCCTGGAAGAGGGGGCAAAGTTAAAGGAACTAGCTTAGAGACCTGGATTTGGCCCTTGGCTCCGGGCCCCTTCGGTATCGCAAGTCCTTTTTTAGGGTTTCGGGAGGACAAGTGAGGCTCCCGAACGTAAAGTGCCCTTGCCCCTGCTTATTCGGCCGCCCCAAGACTTGGGAGTTTTCTTCGGGGTCCTGAATTCGGCCTCCGCCCTTGTCCTGCATCCCGGGGATCCTGGAAATGGAAGAGTGGAGCTTGGCCGGAGCTTGGTGGCCTGTCTGGAAGTGTCCTCCACGGGTGGCGCCAGTTTGATTAGACGCTTCCTTTGCCCGGAGAGGATGCCGAACGCAAAACCTGGCTACTGGCTTTCCTGTTTCTGTTTTTGCGATGAAAGGGCCCCGAAAATACTGTTCGTATTATAACTCAGAACTTGCCTCAAGAGCCTTTTATCTCGACTTCTTTCCCCGAAGCCTCGAGAAAAAACCTGAAATGTCATGCCATGTACCGGGGCCCTCCAAGAGGAGTGAGAACTTTTATGACTGTAGCATTTGGTTCCCCACTTAGAGCCAAGAAGCCCAACGAAATTCTGCCCAGGCTTCCTTCCGTAATGCCCGAAGTACTGCCTCTGTTCAGCCTCTCGGCCTTTCTCCTGCTCCCACCCAAATTCTCGCCCTACGCAGCACCCGGCCTCCAGGGGCCGACTGGCTCCGGCCTCAGACTTGGTGACTGTCCCGCACTCCGCGGCCTGCTCTGTGCTCTCCGCTGTTTCCTGAGCTCTATGCATAGAAGACAGGCCCTCCAAACATACACCGGGCTGTTGGGAAGCAGCCAACAGCAGCAGTTTAGTAGAGATGGCTGAACTTTTGGCTGGACAGACGCAAATGTTCCGCCCTAGGGTAGAGTCGAGCTGGGGGTGGGGAGGTGCACATCCCTACTTTGCCAGGGGAGGGTCTTTGAGCAGAAGGATGGGGGAGCGTGGAGAAGCTGGGAACGCTGGGCCAGGGTCTGGACGACCTGAGATGGGGAGGGGCGGAGGCTTCATAGGAGAGGGATGCGAGATCCTAGGCCGGGTTGTGGGTCCAAGGGGCGGGGGAGTAAGTAGCAAGCTCTATTCGCCCCCGTGACACGCTCTCCCCAACCCGGCCCGCTGCAGGTCTGGTTCAAGAACCGCCGCGCCAAATGCCGCCAGCAGCAGCAGAGCGGGAGCGGGACCAAGAGCCGCCCAGCCAAGAAGAAGTCGTCTCCGGTGCGGGAGAGCTCGGGCTCCGAAAGCAGCGGCCAGTTCACGCCGCCCGCTGTGTCCAGCTCCGCCTCATCCTCTAGCTCGGCATCCAGCGCCTCCGCCAACCCAGCGGCTGCAGCGGCTGCAGGCCTGGGCGGGAACCCGGCGGTGGCAGTCCCGTCGTCGTTGAGTACGCCGGCTGCCTCATCCATCTGGAGTCCGGCCTCCATCTCGCCCGGCTCAGCCCCGGCGTCGGTGTCGGTGCCTGAGCCATTGGCCGCGCCTAGCAACGCATCGTGTATGCAGCGCTCGGTAGCCGCAGGCGCCGCCTCGGCCGCAGCCTCTTATTCCATGTCCTACGGCCAGGGCGGCAGCTACGGCCAAGGCTACCCTGCGCCCTCCTCTTCCTACTTTGGCGGCGTGGACTGCAGCTCATATCTAGCGCCCATGCACTCGCACCACCACCCGCACCAGCTCAGCCCTATGGCGCCCTCCTCCATGGCCGGCCACCATCACCACCATCCGCACGCGCACCACCCGTTGAGCCAGTCCTCAGGCCACCACCACCACCACCACCACCACCACCACCACCAGGGCTATGGCGGCTCGGGGCTCGCCTTCAACTCTGCCGACTGCTTGGATTACAAGGAGCCTGGCGCCGCCGCCGCTTCCTCCGCTTGGAAACTCAACTTTAACTCGCCCGACTGCCTGGACTATAAGGACCAAGCCTCATGGCGGTTCCAGGTCTTGTGAGCCCAGGAGTGGAAGAAAGAGAAGAAACGCAACTACCTGCGCCCTCCGTGATCCCCGTCCTATTGCTGCTGCTGCTGCACCGCCCGCCTTTGCCTCGGCTTCTCTAGACCTGAATTTTCATGCCCCCAAAAGATGCCCATCGCCTGCACTGCCGCCCTCATTTTTGTGCCACTTGCTTGGGGGATGTGCAAACCCGCCCGCCCCTTGGACCAGGGAACCGGTGCTTCGGCTTGGCCCACAAGTTGTCTGGGCGAGCTGTGTGCTCCCCTCCTCAACCCCTAACGAACTCCTGAGTCACGCTCTTCCAGTCTTGCTGGACAGTTATTATGCACTTGCAGCCTTCGGAGGCTCTTCGCTCTGACTCGCTGTTTGAGCCCTACTCTTTTTATTTATTCTTTCTGGACACTGGAGTCACTAACTGGCATGTGTCTGCTCACTGGAGTGCACCCACACTCCAAATCAAAACAACCACTAAGTGTTTCTCGCGTGCAGACCGCCGCCCCGTCAGCTGCCCTCGGCCCTGCTCCCGGCCTGCAGGCCAGAGCTTCCCGGCGGTTCCTCCGCCCCAGCCGGATGCGCCGGGGCAAGGCCGGAGGGAGGAGCGCGCCCCTAGCCTCTCGCGCACAGCCCCGCCCTGCGTAGAATTGGCTCAAGCTTCCGCCTCGGCGGGAATGCTGTACATAGTCGGGTCCGTTCCAGGGGCCACTTAAACTTTTTAGTTGCTGTTTGTTGAACTGAGCATATCGTTTTAGCGCCCAGGAAATAGAACTTTAAGATATATATAGCATATATATATACATATATATAAAACAAAGCAAAAAATATTTTCCCTCTGTCCCCCTTCCTCTCTTCCTAAAACGATGGCGCTTTTACTTTTTTCAGTTGTTGCAAAGCTGTTCTGCCCTCTCACACCTTCTTCCTCCGTGTATTTATTAAAGAGAATCGCTTGGTTCCAGGAAGCTGGGCGCGGAGGATCTGGAGGGTCCGGGAGAGTGGAGGAAACAGCCAAGTCAGGGTACAGGGGAGGGGGATAGGCTGGGGGGCGCAAGACTGAGCCCTTCACCAGGTCTAAGCACAGGGTCGCAATTCCGATTTAGAGACCAAAAACAAAAATACAGCATTATGTGAAAACAAACTAACCCAGGCCCCAAACCCCGGTTCCAATTTCTCTGTCGGCTTCTCTCTTTTTAAACAACCCTGTTTTGTCTAGTGAGTTTTTAGTGCACCTTCATTCTCCGAAATCTGCGGAGAACCCGCGCCTGTGTATCAATTTTGGCTTTGGCCGTTTCGTCCAGTAGATGGGAAAGTAAATTGTAAATTTGATTTGTCCGATGTGAAGATCACAAATTACTTGTTGAAATGTAAGGCAGTCCCCCTCCTCCCCTTTTATCTACATTATTTGCCGAAAATAAATGCAAATTAATGAACGGCTTGTCAGTGTTGCTCTTCTGATTCCAGCCCCAGGTCCCGGTCTCGGGGAGCCTCAGAGGAGGGAAACTCCCGTGTTAATAATCTGCGTTTTAATATGACCTGTGTGAAACTGGAAGCCAAAGAATCGGGCGGGAGGACGTGGCAAGAGGAGTCCCCAGAAATGTTCTCTTAGGGCGTGTCCTTCCCTCGGAGTCAGCCCGGCCTCTTCCCCCAGGCGTTTTGACCCCGCATCCCCTCTCGCCATCCAGGACAGAGACAGGTGTCAGGACTCAATTCCCGAAGCAATTCCTTTCTCTTCAGAGGCAGGAGCCTGGCACTGATTTCTTCACCCTAATTGCCTGCACCAGAGAGAAGAGGGGGAGGGGAAGAGGGTCGGGAGGCGGGAAAGGATAGCTCTGTAATGCTCTCAGAGCTGAGCCAAAAAGGAAAAGAAAACGACAAAAAACCGATCCGTGTCCTGCATGTTGGCAGCAGACAACCTTCCTTTCTGCTGAGCTGTCCCGGGTGGCTTCACGGCCGCTGGGGGAATCCGAGTCATTCCTTCCACGTGCTAAGATGTCCCTCCAAACCCTCGGCTCCCTGCCAGAAGTAGCCAAATTATCTTTGTTCGTGTCGTGAAATTTCTTTAAAACGCAAACACAGCATCTAGAAAAGTCGACAAGGACGCGTTTCACTTTGGCAGGGGAAGAAGACTCCTGGCTTGCAGCAGGGGGTCAGAAAGGACGGTTCCACCTTCTCCTTTGGGAAGACAGGGGTAGAGGTGGGGATGGAGTGGGCTGCTCACCCAGAAAACCCAGAGCCCCGATTTGTCCAGACTCTGTTTGGCCTGACACCTCTTGTGTGTAAGGCCGAGAAGCTGCTCTACTTGTCCAGCGGCGGGAAGGAAATAAGGAAACAACGAAAAGTTTCCTGCAAAGTGACCAACACACCCTATTCTTTTTATTCCGTGTGAGACCTGAGAACACAACGTGAGGCTGGGTTTGCAGAACGACCCCTCCCCCAGGGGCCCGCGCCGAGCAAGGTCTCAGGGCTGCGAGCCCGGCTGTAGAACAGCCTTCTCGGCCGCGTGGCCGTGTCTTCCCTCCGGACTCCCCAGGCCCGGCCCGGGCGCACCGTGCCTTCCCACTCCAACAACCCGTCATCCCCAGCCCGCAAAAGCCCGCAGGAGGGCGCAGCCGCAGCCCCGCCGAGCCTGGCCCGGCGCGCCGCCCCCGGAGGGAGACCCCAGGTGCAGGGCCTTGCCGCGCCCGCGCGGGCTCCTCCTGGGGCAGCACGTCCAGTTCAATGCGGGGCCAAGGCTGACAAGCCGGCGTGCTGCGTGGCCCCCGGGTGCGGGGCCCGCACGTGCCGGAGGGGCCCAGAGCCCGGGCGGGCGGCCGGAGCAAAGCGGCTTCCAGCTCGCGCTGCACGGGCCTGGGCACCGGGCCTGCAGGGCGTCCCGGGCGCTCTCCTCAGCCGACCCTGCCTGCCCCGCCCCGGGGCCACCCTGCTCCCGCGGCAGCTGCCAGTACTGCTCCAGGCCCAGGTGCTAGGCCGCCCCACCCGCAGCCCCCTGAGCAGGTTCTGTGCGGCCCAGCGGTTCTCTCGGCTGCTCGGGGGAACGAAACCAGGAGACTCGGCTTCGTACCTGCTCGGACAGCTGTGTGGCCTCCGGAACAAGGTACCCAAACCCCTGGGCCTCAGTTTCGTCGCAAGTGTTATTTGCCCCCCCCGCCCCCCCCGGCCTAGCACGTTCCAGAACTTCATACTTTGGGCCGAGGCAGCGGGCGAGGAGGTCAGACGCGTCCCTGTGGCCCGGGTGCTCGGCGGCGTCTAGAAGCTTCGGCGCCTGCGTGCTCAAGCAGACGGGCACCCGCGGCCAGGCGCACGGAGGCCGGGCGGGAGTTCCCGCCCGGAGAACGAGGCTTCGAGGAGAGGCACGTGCTTCTCCCAGGGCCTCCCAGCCTGCGCGTAGGCCCCGCGGCGCTGAGTGGAAACCAGGAGCCGGAAGGCGCCGGGGCACCTCAGGCCGCCAGGACGCGGGCGCCCAGGGGAGCGGGCTAGGTGCGTGGCCCGCGCAGGGGCGGCCGGAAGTGGCCGGGCCGGGCGAGGCGAGGGTGCCCCGGCTGGCGGAGAGGCCGCGGAGGGCGGCGGGGCCGGGAGCGCGGGAGGTCCTGCCGGCCCGGCCATCTGTTAACGGCGGGGTTCTCTGAGAACCGCCCGCAGCTCGCCCTTTTCCGGAGGGAAGAGGTTTGTTTTGTTTGGGTTTTGGTGTTCGTGACACAATGGAAGCAACTAGAGTTGAAGCAACTTGAGGAGATTTAGCAACTTCAGAACATTTATAGCAGCGTTAAGACGTCAACAGTTTTCTTTCTTTGAGTGCTCAACGAAATCTTCATGTGTCCTACTCATGGTTTGTATCTTCTGCTTCTCCTTTTGGGGCAGAAAAGTCTACCGCTAAGTGACCATGTGTGAGGTGCTAAAGGGTCAAGGATAGGTCCTACTTGTGATTTTTTAAAGAATTAAAAAAAAAAAAAATCTTAAAACCATCCCAAGAACACTGTGTTAATTTGCTGAAGCTCTGTGAAGATTTAGTGAGGTACCCTCGTTTATTGTAGAGCTCTCCAGTATTCTTTATAGCAGCTGCTGGGGGTATCTGGAGACATTTCTCTAAATTGAGTGGGGTTTTTTTTTTTGAGAAAAAATTCTTAAAGCTATATGGTGTTAAACGTGAGAGGAAAAACAGGTAAAAAGACACTGAATGTCAGCAAATTCATGTCTGCTGCATTACAGAAACCAAACAGAGTAGTTTCATTTTTGGTGTCAAAAGAAAATTGCTAATTTTTTCATGTACTTTGTTCAAAATACCATTTTCACAGATAAATGGTGTTTTTTTTCAATTGTGAAAATAATAAATTGACTACTCACTCTGGCAGAATTAGTGTTATTGAAGTCATTAAGCACTGACAGGCATTAGGGTTTTCTCGAGAGATATAGAAATAAAATGTATCTGATATATTAAATGTAGTTAGTTTATATACATTATTGGTAAAGAAAGTCTGTATCATTACTATTCAAGAGCAAAAAAATCACTTGGCTTCTGTTGCAGAATTAATTTAAGAACAGCAACAAGATATCTTTATAAAATTTCTTAATTTAAAACCGAACAAGTTCTCAAGTTACTCTATATTTTCCATACTTTCTCTCCCTTCCCCCATACATTTTAAGGTCTAAAATGAGAATGAAAAAAAGCTGGTTAGGTTTAACTAAGGAATATTTATATTCAACAATACAATACCTAAAGTAAAAACCACCAACTAAAAAATGAATACTAAATAATAGCAATGCATTGCTTATTCGACAAGAAAACATCTCCATTATCTTTAAGAAAGAATCTGTTTAATTGTGTAGGTGTCTGAAATATACATTTTTGAAAAAGAGAAGCTTTCTGGGGGATGCTGTGTTTAGTAGATGGTTCCTGAAAAAGCAGTTATGCTTCTTAATCATCCTGTTGATATTTACTGATATCGGAGAAAAGAATTGGATTTTTTTTGTAGGGGAGAGGAACATGCCGTTTTGACTTAATGATTCTTTAATCATGCCTTAAAATGAC